CATCTTCAATCTCTCTTTTCAGAGTGCTATAGTTTTCAGAGAAGAGGTCTTTGGTTTCTTTTGTTAGGTTGATTCCTAGGTATTTCAGTTTTTTGGATGCTATTGTGAAAGGAATTGTTTGCCGTATTTCTGTCTCAGTGAGTCTGTTGTAACTGTATAATATCCCGATGTGTCTAGGTACCATAATTGATTTTTTAAAACTTCTCTACTGATGAACATTGGGTTGTTCCTAATTTTTTTGCACTATCATATTTTCAAATTCGTGATTTCCTTAAATTCTCAGAAGTAGAGAATTGTGTACCAAAGAATGTATTTTATTTTTAGGGTTTTATATATATACACACAGATATCTACGTATGTATAGATATGTAGATACATGGGGACAGTGAGAGTGGATATATCTTACTGTTCTCTACAATGATTCCACTAAGTCTGTCAGTACTCAAGCTCCAAACACTTTTTTGGTGTGTGGTACTAGGATCAAAACTAAGGGCTCCCACAAGCTAGACAAACACTCTTCCTTCTGACCTGTACTGCAATGGTTTTTATTTATTGTTAACTTTATGTTTTGATTAATGTCTCACTGAATTGCCTAGGCTGGCCTTGAACTTGCAATACTCCTGCTTTAGCTTCCCAAATAGCTAAGATTACATGTTTGCACCACCACACTCAGGAAGATCCCAAACTCTTGAAAAGACTCACATTTGATAAAAAGAAACCTGCTCTATTTCAAATCATGGCTGGAGGGTCAATGGAGGGAAATTATCTTTTAAAATTATTATTCATTTAATTAATATTTATGACTTTACCACCAAGTCAATATACAGATAATAATAATACCAGCAGCTACTTGAGTGCCAGGAACTATCACAAGCTCTTTTCCCATCTAGCTCCTGCCAGGCCGATAGGGAAAGTATGACTATTGTTTTTAAGAGGTAGCTACTGGATATCTAATATGTCGAGCACTATACTAGGTACCATCTATACAGCATCTCACTTAATTTCAGTGAACACTCACAAATAAACTCTACAAGTTAAATAGCTAGTATTTTTATTTTACAAATAACATTATTTCAGATGCTTAGAAAGATTACATCAATTGTCCAAGGTGTCATATAGCCACTTATGGGATGGAAGTTTACAGCTTGTAGAAATGGTAAAAAAATACACATGAACAAATTACTTTGTACCAACATATAACATCACTGTTGACAAATCCTTACCCCTGCTTCTTCAGAATTGCATGTTTTCACTTTATTTTGAAGAACATCAATCAATTGACATAATAGTACTCCATTGTCAAGTTCATCCAATAATTTTTCTGCTTTAATTTCAAAACCTAAAACATTATTTCAAAGTTAAAATTCTGGAACAGTAAATTGAGATAAAACAGTTAAAATTTAATGAATAGAATCAGATTATACCTGAAAAACTAGACAAATATCAGATGAGATTCCAAATATTCCCTCTTTGAAGGCAGTATATTTAAAATGAGTAATATCGAGTTAAGTGAAAGAAAACTAACAGAAAAACATCTGTGAGGTAGAAATGCAGAAAAAAATTCATGTTTGTTTTATTTCATTGAAAAAGAAATAAATTCACTGCATGTTCATACTTTCTCACACACACACACACACACACACACACACAAAAGATTCTTTACAAGAATCTTCTTTATAAGATGGATTTTCAAAGAAAACAGCAAAAACAGCTTAGTGGTGATCAGTAGGAAAATGCAGCTTCTCCAAGATCCAGAATCCAGACACTGGAAAATAACAACTTATGGAAGGAAAAAAGAGAAACAGATTGCCAGGAATCGGGCAGGAATTGACAGAAAAAAAATGAGAAGCTACTAAGAAGCTGGAAAGATGGTGACAACACAGAGAAAAGAAGGAAACAATCTGGACTCTCCTGCTCTTCTGGCTGATGAGAGGGGCACCAGGCTCCCCAGAAGCAAGGCAGTGTCGAGAGCTGGGAGATGCAGGGGAGACTGCAGTGAAGTTCTGCACCAAGGGCTCCTTCTGCACAGCAGGTGGCAGCAGAGCAGTGATTCAAGTACTGTGCCTACTACATCACCAGGGAGAGCTTGCCTTTTCAGGAAGGGCCTGATTATTTAAATCTGGGACTTGGAACAACTGAAAATCAACTTTACTTCAGGGCTCCTAGTGTTACCATCCCACAGTGACTGGGTGAAACAGCTGTGGACAGGATAGATGTAGACCCCTGAGAAACGGAGGGTCAGGGGGAAGGACATGGCCCCACCCCACAGTGAGAAGCCAGCACCTGAGCTGCTCTCAGACACAGCTGAGTCTCAAAGTGCCTGCGGGTGTGAAGGGCTTGGACACTTGCCCTGCTTGCCCACATCCAGTACAGATCTGAGGTCTGCTGCCTTCCCTATCCAGCAGCATGAGCAAGGACACATCTCAGTGTGGACATTCCAACAACCTGGGTAAGCAGAAGGGCCTTAGGGCAGAAGGCTAAGCAGAGAAAATCAGATGTGCTGGACTCCAAAACTGCAGATCCTAGAAGGAAACCACTCATTCAGAAATACAGGAAAAAAATATGTTTTCTCTGTTTTTGGACTCATTTTAGTTTTCTCTTCTTTTTCCTTTAAAATTTTTCTAGTTTTTATTCTCCACATTATTTCTCTTTTCTTTCTTTTCTTTTATCTTATTTTTTCTTGTACTTTTATCTAGTTCTATAAATATCCTTCTACTTCATAATAGGATCATTTGTCTCACTTTTCTCTCCTCCTCCTCATCTCCCATTGTTTATTTTTTCAAGCTTTTCCTTTTGCATTCTCCCATTCCCCAAACCCTATATCTTTAATAATATAACCATTAAGCTTTACTAATCTTAAATAGCTAAATCTATGTTACTAATGATGAATTCTTTCCTATCATTAGTGGAGGTAGTTATCTTATTTTTGACATATACAAATGTTTGCTGTATGTCAATATTTAAGAGTTTATATTATGTAAAGTGGTACATTATCGGTTCTTACAATATATTAATATTCAGTTAGTCTTGGGCAATATTACTGCTGCTGATTTACTTGATAGAAAGTAAGGGTTACATAGCTGTTGGTATTAATATGTTTCCTCTGAATCCCAGTACCAGGTTCTTTGTGACACTGACAATACTGTGGCCTGTTCCCAGAGAACTGGTGCTGGGGCAGCTACACTGCACCCCCTCCCATAACAGAGGTGATCTGATCTTGTGAGGTCAAGGACAATAGTTATTCATGCCCAGTTCATCACTGAAAACATACTAAAGAGATCTCCACATTAGCAGCAAAGTCTGTCCACTGTAAGCGACAACATACACAAGCACAAAAACAAGCAAATGACAATAGAAATACGAGAAAAGAAGACAACAAAGTACTTCCCCAAACTACCAACTACCCAAAAGCTAATGAAAGCAAAAGCCACACACCCAAATTATTTGAAAGGATAACAGGGGTGCCAGGCATAGTGGCACATGCCTGTAATCCCAGCACTTGGGAGGCTGAGGCAGGAAGACTGCTGAGAGTTTAAGGTCAGCCTGAAGTACATAGCGAGATCCTGTCTCAAAAAAAAAAAGGAACAGAGGAGACTGAAAAACAGATCAATGAGATGTTCAGCAGGCTCACAGAAAATATAACCAATCAGATAATATAAATGAAATAATCAGGGAGCTTACCAAAGATGCTCATAAAAAGTGAGCTGGGCTAAACAAAACAATATAAAATGTGAATGACCAGTTTAGCAAAGAACTAGAGTCTATGAAAATATTCCAAACAGAAATCCATATTAAAAATTGTATATGGGCAATAGAAGCAACCAACGTGAAGACAATATCAGAAACAGAACATAGGGACGTTTTCCAAGACCAATTCTTCAGAGAGACCTTAAAAACAACAACCCAAAAAACGGGTTCACCAGCTGCTAGATGATACAAAGAAGGCCAGGTGAAGATTAAATGGAATAAGTGAAAAATCAGAAGACAGCACAAAGCGCATAAAAAAGCTGTTTATAGAAATAATAAGAAAGTTAAGAAAATTTTCCAAATATTGGAAAGGATTAAGTTTTTAGATAAGTGAGGCATATAGAACCCCAAATAACCATGTTCAAAAGAGACAGTCAAAGTCCCAGAATTCTAACACAGGGACAGAATTTTAATAGTTATTATAGAAAAGCAATAAATCACTTATAAAGGTAAACCCATTAGAAGTACAGGAGACTTAGGTCCTGGGATTTAGCTCAATGGCTCCTCACATGCCTGGCAAATGCAACATCTTGAGTTTAATCCCTGGTACCAAAAAAAAAGAATCACAGCAGACTTCTCAACACAAACCTTAAAGACCAGGAGAGCTTGGAGTGAAGTGTTTCAAGCCCTGAAAGATAACAACTTCCAACCTACACTGATACATCCTGCATAACTTTCTCTCAAAATTGATGGAGAAATAAGGTATTTTCATGACAAAGAGCACCTCAAGATATTCGTGATCACTAAGCCAGCACTCCAAAAATTCTCAAGGAAATCCTGGAAAGACAATGAGGCCAACAATGCCAAAATTTTTCAAAGAATGAATACACCAGGCAGGGCAAGCATTTAAGCAGAAAGGGGAGGGCAGGGCTGGTCAGCAACAGGAAAATAGCACAATGACAGGAATAAGTCAGTACCGCTCAGTAATAACTCACAAGGTGAACGGTTTCAATTCGTCAATCAAAAGACACAGATTGGCAGAATGGATCAAGAAACAAAACCCAACAATGTGGAGTATACAAGAAACACATAATCCAAAAAGAAATACACAGATTAAAAATCAAAATACGGAAAACAATATTCCGTGTAACGGGAACCCAGAAAAAAGAAAAAAGCAGGAGTAGCTATCCTAATTTTAGACAAACTTGATTTTAAACCAAAACTGATCACCAGAGGCAAAGAAGGTCACTACATCTTGGTTAAGGAAACAATTCAACAGGAAGATATAATTATAAACATATATGCATAAAACAAGCACTACTGGACATTAAAAATCAGATAAACACCAACACAATTACAATGGATTCCTCAACACTCCATTGTCACAAATAAATCAACTACACACCAAAAAAAGAATCAACAAAGAAATTATCAGAGTTAAATCAAACCTTCAAACAAATGAGTTTAATAGATATCTACAAAGTGTTTCACCAAACAAGAATATAGCACACATTCTTCTAAGCAGGACATGGGGCTTTCTCCAAAATAGACCACATGCTAGCAAATAAAGCTTAAGTAAATGGAAAAGAATCAAAATTATCTCAGGCATATTATCAGATCATAGTACAATGAAACCAGAAGTAAATGTCAAAAAACCCACAGGAAATATCCAAACACAGAGAAATTAAATAATCAGTGGGTCACAGAAGAAATCAAGGACGAAATTAGTTCCTAGAATCCAACAATGCCAGTATTATATAACGGAATCTATGGGACACAATAAAACCAGTCCTAAGAGGGAATTTTACAGCTGTGAATGCCCACATTGGGAAAACAAAATGAGCCCAAATAAATAACCTAATGATGCACTTCAAGGTCCTAGAAAATAACAGTTCACACCCAAAGCTAGTACAAGGAATGATATTATAGTGCTCGCTTCAGCAGCACATATACAAGGAATGATACTATAAAGATCAAAGCAGAAATCAATAAATTGAGACTAAAAAAAAATACAATGAATCAAAGAGTTGGTTTGTTGAAAGAATAAACAAAATAGAGAAATCCTTAGCCAATCTAACCAAAAAAAGGAAAGACCAAAATCATTGCAATTAGAAATGAAAAAGTGAAATTACAACAGACTTTGCTGAAATCCAGATTATCAATAACTACTTTGAGAACCTATATTCTAATAAAATAGAGAACTCAGAAGAAATGGATAGATTCCTAGGTACATATGAAGTACCAAAGTTGAAAGAAGAAGACCTAAAAATTCTGAACAACCCAATATCAACCAATGAAATTGAAAATGTAATTAAAAACTTACCATCTAAGAAAAGCCCAGGCCCCAGTGGATTTACTTCCAAATTCTATAAGAACTCTGGAGAAAATCTAATGCCAATACTTCTCAAACTCTTTAGTAAAATTGAGAGTACTCCCAAAGTCATTCATGGAAGCTACTATTACCCTGATTCAAAACCAAAAAAGAGTTCTAAAGGCCAATCTCTTTAATGAACACTGATGCAAATGTCCTCAATAAGATATTGGTGGACAGAATGCAACAGCGGGCCAGGGATTTAGCTCAGTGCTTCCACTGCCTGCCTCTCAAGCGCAAGGTCCCGACTTTGATCCCTGGTACAAAAAAAACCCCAAAAAACAGAATGCAACAAATCATCAAAAAGATCACAATTGTGATCAAGTATGATTCATCCCAAGGATGCAAGGATGGTTCAACATATACAAATCAATAAATGGAATATATCACATAAAAAGAATTAAGGACAAAAATCACGTAATCATCTCAACTGGCATAGAAAAAGCATTTGACAAAATTTAACATTCATCTATGATTTTTTAAAAATGACAAAGAGAATCTCTGAATCAGAGATTCTCCCCAACTAGATGGAATGTAAGCACAGTGAGAACAAGGACTTTGAAAGTTTCATTCACTAGAGTGTCCCAGGCGTCTAGAACAATCACTCCTCCGACAAACAGAAAAATCTGTTGCATGAGAGAACACAGTTGGGGTGTCTTGTTAGCCTTACCCAGTAAGCCAGAGAGCCAGATGGACAGATCCTCCTGCATAGGCAGCAGGGTGGCTTCGTGCCTTACAGCTATCCACTCATCATACTGACAAACGTCAGCCAGTCCCGGTCCGTGTCTGGGTATCAGAGGGCTCCGAGGACTTAGCGGTAGATCTTCCCCAAACCATACCTACAGAGAACAGGGATTGACTGAATGAACGCAACCTTTGCTGAAAGTCACTGTAATCCACATCCATGTTTAAATGATGAAGGATAAAACCACACATTCTGTGCCTGTGTATAAAACTGAGACAACTCACAGGAATTACATACGAATCAGAAACAAACTCTTAGTCTAGATACTTGCTGATGTTAATATATGATTCTGATTATTTCCTTGTGTTTGTATAGGAAGATGTCTTTGTTTTCAAGAAATACATACTTGAGGGCCAGGGATTTAGCTCAGTGGCACCACACCTGCCTTGAAAGTGCAAGGTCCTGAGTTCGATCCCCAGTACCACAAAAAAAAAAAAAGGAAATACATACTAAAGTACTCTTAAGTGGTCCGAGCAAACAAATTTCTTTGTACTATACTTAACAACCCCTCTGTAGGTTTGTTTAAAGTGTTTAAAAAAGAGTATAGTGAATCTAGTCCTTTGTTGGCTTTTAAATATAAAATATTCCCCCTTAAAATTTATTATACTTATTGAGGTTCATTTGAGGCAAGTCTTATTATAAAAAATCAAAAACCAAAGCAATACTATTTGTAATCCAGACAAACTTTAAAGGAAAAAAAATAATTACCTGCTTCCAATCTCCTATAAGAAATCAACATGCTTTACAAAAAGAAGTCCCAAAGCCCAAGGAAAAAATGAACAAAAGAATATGCAGGAGTAAGGGAATCTAATAAAAGTACCCAAAGACAAAACGAAACATAAGTTATCTGAGGAACATTATTTCATGAATTATGGGTAGAGACTGGGAAATGAATTCCTAAATATATGAGAATTTTATAAACATACAGAAAACAGATGAAATGTTATTTATTTCCCAGAATTCTCTCAAAATCATTTCAAAGGGAGTACAATAAAGATTTACTAATTCCTCCCTTCAGAAGCATTTCTTACTTCTACATATAATCCTAGAATACACTCAGCACCCAGTATTCACTGAGAAACACTCGTTGAGTAATTGAGGAACAGATATTAGCAAGTGACTCTACCCTCAAAGTCAAGGTGTATCTCACCATCAGTCATACCCTGCAGCCCATCCCATATGTAATTGTCCTTCAATCATTTGCCTGAGCTAGAAACAGGCAAAGCAGGTGCCAAGTGTTTGTCAAGGAAAGATGGGCAGGGCCTGGAGGTTTAGCTCAGTGGTGCCGCCACCTTCCTCGAAAGCACAAGGTCCTGAGTTCGATCCTCAGTACAAAAACAAACAGATGGGCAGGAGTTAGGAGGGTGACTTTGCAAAAGCTGATTGTGGTTCTGGAGAGGCTGACATTAACAGAAGTCATTCTTGCTTTTAGCCACATTAGAGAAGAGAAGGTGTGTTGCATTTTCCTATTATTGGAAGCAGAATAATAACTTTGACTGCCCAATAGTATTTTAATGTTAAAAGTTAGATATTCATAACAGAAACCACATGCATGAAAGTTGTTCTCTTGCAGAAAGTTGCAGAAATTCTTAATCTATGGAGCTTGCTTACATTTAGGTCAAATTGTGTGCCTGTGTACAAGTGAGCCACTTCTCGGAAACAGAGATCAGAGCTTCTGTTGGATTTTCAAAAAGGACTACAAACTAAAAGAGATTATGAACCATTGTTCATTGCCTGTGACTGTTTCTTTATTAATCAGAATGAGGGACATAGAAGAAGAGCATAGAAAATTTTAAGGTATTAAATTTAAAAGAAGTCAATTGACACTGGCTATTCACTGGATGTTTCCTCTCACAAGAATTATAAATAACTGTCTAATATAGTTAGCAGAGAAAGAGGCGAAAATCCTACATGAAGGAGAAAGGCTGCAGCCTCCACGAGACACATCAAGGGGGTACTGTCGGAGAAGAGCTAATAAAGATGGCTTTGTAGAATCTAGACAGAGAAGATTTCATGGAACTTCAAGACGAAAGTATGAAAAAAAAATCAAGTTAAGAGAACATGAAGGGCCCTTAGCACAGAAACTCGAAAAACACGGCTAATATGCAATATGGCAATGGCAAAAGTACTCTACAGGGAATCAAGCAAATAACTGATACGAAACTAATGAATTTCTGAGGCTGGAGTAAAGACAGAATAGATAGAAAAACTCACATCAAAATGCTTTTGAGTGAAAGGAACTCTGAACATACGAAAGTGGATGTAAGACTCAAAGAGGGGGAACAAGACCTTCAGGAAACTGTCAGCATGCTGGGGTCTCAGAAGGACTGTGTTCATAGAGCAGATGGGTAAGTGGCACAGCACAGGAAGCTGTATGAGGAGGGTCGCACCCAGAGGTTTGTTTGTCTCACTAAGAGGCTGGGTCTCACTAAGGCTGGCACTGAACTCACTACCTAGCCCAGGCTGGCCTCGAAATCGCAGTGATCCTCCTGCCTCAGCCACCCAAGTGCTAGAATCACAGGCGTGCAACACCACTCCTGGCACAGAGTTATTCTCAACCGCTTCATAAATAAATTCTCTTCTCTGGGCCTTCATCTATTGTTATCTTTCTTAATTAAAAAAAAGAGAAAGAAAGAAAGAGACAGAGAAAGAAAAAGAGAAAGGAAAAAAGAGAAAAGAACAGACTTTCATGATCAGCACAGGTCCAGATTCACAAAGGGATAGTTCTGGTGCACTGTGAGTACCGCCCAAGTTCCGGGATGCCTTCTAGGGAATGAACATGCCAGTAGGAATGTTCTCTCTGCACATGTCATCTCACAGAAGGGCGACCACGGCCACCCTAGAGGCGACGAAGCAGGGACTCAAAGAAGTAAAATAACTTGCCAGGATCTCAAAGCGGCAGAACTGAAATCTTACTCTAAAGTTCTTTCAAATGCATTTTATTTTCAGCTGCTTACATCTTTCTAGGCACAGATATTTAATGTGACTTTTACCTTTAAAATCTAATCATGTTCTGTTTATATCAAAAGAAAGAAAAAAAAAGGGGAATTTGAGAATAATATAGCAAGCACCAACTCTGGAATCACTCAGTATAATATTATTCTGGTCTTTCTCATTCCCTCAGCTGGCCTCCCCCACCGTAAAATAAAAACCTCCCTCTTTTAAATTTCTAATTTGAATTCACAGAGCACATGTACAATTATTTACAACAAAAAAAGTACATTTATTTTCACTGAACTCTCTTTTAATTGCAAATACACATTCAATAGTAATGAGAGGAAAACTACAAAATATTTCAATACTTTTCAAGGTGGTATAAATAAGATGCACCCACAAACTCTAAGATATTTCTGATTCTTTCAAACATTAAACACAAATACAAGCCTAGAAATAAAATCTTTTCAGAACTATAAAGCCAAATTATAGCACCCCTGTTATTAAAATGTGATACTTAAAAAAACTAAAGCAATAAAAACATTTGGTGATAATTATGATACTTTACTAATTATAGTCATTCATAATGTAAATACATACTTTTTCTAAGTAAAATACTTACTTGAATTGCAGGCTGCATGGTCATCTATATAAAGACAAAACTGCTATTCTGAAAAAGAAATACAATATTAACAAGCAGACAATGAAGCTTTCCTACTCCCCAGTGCCCCCAAATTACAAGATTTAGGAATGTGCTTTTGCTCTTCTATTTGAGAGAAGCTAAAACATTCTCTTCAAGCTGGGATAGTTTGATTATAAAAGAACTTCATAATGACTCCTTACTTCTTACTTCCTAGAAGTACTTCTCATTTGAAACAGGAAAACCTTAAACACACTTTAATATACTGTTTCTGTCACTGGTATCAAAGTAATTCTTGAAATGTCTGACCAGTAAGATAAAATTAACAATGAAGCTTAGCTCACCTGATAGTCTCCCAGAATTCCATTTTCCTCTATAAACATTATATAAATATTATGTGGCTATAAATATCACAAAACTGATACTGAAATTCAAGCATCTTTCATTTGATCTTCACAGAGATTATGTAAGCTCATGTGGACTTTGTATAAATTCACAAGCTTAACCTTAAGCTTTTCATATTAGATAATAAGGTAATAAACTATCAACTTTAACTGTAAAACAAAAATATTCAATGCCTTCCTATAATAATTTTAAAAGACAAAAAATCTCAATGTTAGTTCCAAAATACTTCTATTAAATCCATAAGGAAAGAAAAACTTCAATTAAATGAGTTAATACAATTCTTTAATGTATTTGTGAAAAGTTTAAAAATACTCAGAATAATGTAGACTATACAAAACATAGGGTTACTGATTGCTTATAGCAATGTAATAAATTATTCTAACTTTTATTGTAAACCACCATTAAAACATGCTAAGAAGAAATATAAAGCCACTTATAAGGCTAAAATGCTACCCATTTCCAAGGAAAAGTTCTGCTCTCCTCCGAATTCTATCAGACACACCCCACACACAGCGCTGGCTATGCAAAGCTTTCTTCTTTCAGGAACATTTCTCCTGCTGCCACAGTTGAACCTGAGCTGAACCTAACTGAAAAGCCTAATATTATGTCATATCTTCTTTCAGTGAAGCAAAGGACAACAGAATGTCCTTTTTGATGTCATTTTTACTTCTCTCTACCACAGCGAAAGGCCAAAGTACAAGTGAGCATTGCTAACAAGCTTGTTATGCTTCCCACGGGCCAATTCAGTGGAGAACACATTTTCCTTTAGCATAAATAATCCTTTGTCCCCAACAAAGATCCACAGTAAGAAGCTTCCGAGTCCATTTTTTAAAAATGCAGCAAGAAGCTGCCCCTATGAAAATGGAGTTCCTCATAATCAGACAAGAGCTTTAACAGTTGGAACTGCCAGCCCAAAACAAAAGAGAGCCCAAATTATAAGGCATGTGCAAACCCAGAACAGTGACACATTCACAAAGGCGCTATCGCAAGAATGTTCAGTAGTTGCACTTCTTACAGAAAATTCAACAAAATTAGTTTTATGAAATAAATGAAGAATTTGTGAACAACACTCAGTTACTTGAACTTTAGCAAAGTCTTATGTATATTTTTCAAATCAATCTTGTGTAATAGAATGTACTACTTTTAAAATGACAAGCACATAGCCATCCAGATTATCTTTAAAAAGGATTCTTTAACGAATACTCAGATAAATTATAATGTATCCACATATATTAGGTACACTGATATATGTTTTTATTGGAAAACATATAAACAGTCAAGGTACTAGTTAATCATCAATTACTCAGTGAAAATCCCCTATGTTCATATATTAAGGATTAGTTTGTTTTTTATATTTTCTAGTCATTCACTATTCTCTTTTTTTTTTTTTGGTACCGAGGATCGAACTCGGGACCTTGCGCTTGAGAGGCAGGCTCCTGAACCACTGAGCTAAATCCCCAGCCCATTCACTATTCTCTTTCCAAAGCATTTTCTAACTCAGGTATTTAATCACGAGAGTAACTTCCTGGTTATCCCAAGCCCCTGCTCTGCATCACGACCACAATTCTTGCTTTTCACTCATTTCATTACTATTTTCATCACTTCTGTCTTCCCTAATAGTCTCAGCCTTAATTTTTTTCATATAAACCAATTATACTGAATCATTAACACTTCATTTTTGGAGCTGCATCTTAATCATTTGCTTTTGCTTTTGTCTTTCTCCCTCTTCGGGAAAGTCTACTTCGATTCTGTGCCAAACAAAGGAGGGGTCGGGGGAAGAACTCTGAATCAAGCCACTCTCTACCCCTGCCGACATCTCTCCCCAGTCGAGACCTGCACGGGTCGTAAGAGCGCTACACCCATCTGGGCAAAGGTCAGAACGTGCTCAGCCTCCTGAAACTTCACCGGGATTCGGCCTAGTGTCGGTCGGTGTCGCTGTAGTGATGAGTTACACTGAGGCTCTTCTTTAACATTTGACTTAGACGCTGGGAGAAGAAGCCACCTGTGGCACTGGGCCGTGGTCTCTCCGCTGTAGGCTCCGAAGCTGAGTGTGACAGAAAGAACGACTCCATTTTCACTCCTTTTCCACATCATCAAATGTGATGGAGAGAATCCAGGGTACCGTGGCTCATTCCTGATACAAACCCGAGTTCGATCAGGGAGCGTGGCAGAAGGCACCAAAGCTAGTGGTCCCTGACTGACACATCTGTTCACCACTCAGCCCCCACGACTGGCAAGATACGGAAGGGGTGAGGATGTGGCCAAGACGGAGGTTGGGACAGTGGGGACTGCCAAGGAGCGGGGAAGATGAGACTTGGGAGAAGGTAGAAAGGCTCCTTCAATGGAAGCAGAAATATCTTACGTCATGGTAAGTGGTGAGAACACACGTAGTTTTACACCAGGCTCTGCTGGAACAAGTGCCCAAAAAAATATTTATAATGTTTCACTTAGAAAAACACTTGAAAAAAAAAAAACAACAAAACCTTCTGATTTATTCAGAAAAGTTTTTAAAACTCTCAGCTTTAAAATTTTAAGTTAAACTGGGCATGGTGACGCACACCTGTAATCCCAGCACCCAGGAAGCTGAGGCAGGAGGATCCCCAGGAGTTTGAGGACAGCTTGGGCTACAGAGTGAGAGTCCAAGGCCAACCTGAATTACAGAAGGAGGACCCTGTCCCCAAAAAACAAACAAAAAAAGTGATGACTTAAATATTTTCCATTTGCCTAACAGAGGAAATAGAAATGCTATATCCATACCAAACATGTTTCATTTATTTTTAAATGTAAACTAACATAACTTACCATAAACACAGCACTGAGGTGGTAGAAGGCATCAGACACATCTGGTGTGAGTTGCAGCCCCAGCATATACTAGTTAGTGACTTTGAGGGAGTGGAGGTCTCAGAGCCTCGGAGTTCTCATCTGAAGAAGGGATATTAGCGCCTCTCTCGTATGGCTGCTGTAAAAATTAAGAGATGATACAGATAAAGTACCTGACATATAACTAGCACTTAGTAAATGAATTATTATAATTCTATGACAAGCCATAATTATCGTTCATTTATCAAATTAAAAATACTCAGACATCATTAAATATAATTTACCGAGCTTCTTTTATGAACACAAAAATAAATACAGCTATAAGTGAAGGTAAAGGTTTTTCAATACCCACATCAGAATCAGAACTCAGAACTTGTACTTAAGATTCTCTTTGCTAAAGTGAGTCTTAAGGACTTTATTTCTAACACAGGCCCTGGGTTCCATTCAGCCCTATTTCAGGCTCTGCCTGTTTTCAGGTGGCAAACACTCATTCAGCAGCATTTATCTGCGCCCTCTCCTGAACCTGGCACCAGGGGAGAGACAGCATCCAACAGAACAGCCATGCCATTGCCCTTGTGGAACTAACACACCGACTGGGATGGCTGAAAACAGCAGACACAAATGAATGCCTAAGGGTAACACTGCAGCTGCTTTAAGGGAAAGAACAGAGTCTCAAAGAGAGAAAAATAGCAGGTGCCTACTTCAGACTTAAATTGAAGGAAATTATTTGCTGGAGGAAAAGCATGAATTGGAAGAATGGTTGGAATGAACCATGGAAAGAAGAGTTCTGTGCCTTTTTGCAAAGGTTCTGGACAGAGAAAGCAACGGAAGCAGTCGCTAATAGGCCAGTATCAGATGGAAGACATTTGGATATCACCATTTATTATTAATACATCATCATCATTATTTACATGCACGGATACATGATTTGCCTCTTCCTCAAAATGTCCAAAGTAAAATATGTACAATGATCACTGGTCAAGGTACCAGCAAGTCAAATGTGCAGCCTCGTACACCACAGGGCTCGTTAAGAAAAGGTGGATACACTTCTACCTGGTGTAAAGGTGGAAATTCCAAGAGAACAGCTCCACCAAAGGGCAAGGCTGATGGCCACTTGCAATATCCGGCAGTGATTCAGTCCGAATAACTTAACTCTATATTAGATAGAATTTTTAATTTGTCATAAAATTTTGTGGGACACAAATTTGAAAATAAATTTAAAATCAGTTTGCATATATACATATATATGATAAACTAAAAAATACAAATATAGAAAACATACAGTATGCTAACAAAAGACCAGCGAGAACAACATTTAACATTCATGAAGAGAAAGCTGCTCAGAGGCCGCACTGGATGCTCATGCACTGGACTCAGCCATTTGAAAGAGTAAGACAGAGCCACGCCCCCACAGGAAAAGACGGCTGTTAGGTTATGTGGACCGAAGCAGCCTATAGAACAGTGGATGTAATGTTACTGAGATCACAGTGTTTCTCTAAATTATGTGTTTGGATAAAAAAGAAAATTGTTTTGAACATAGTTAAATATTTTTGAAGACTATTTTATTTTTAGAATCAAAATTACAAACAAGTCAGGGGGTAAGGGTGTAGTTCCAGATAAGGGCCTCTCTAGCATGTGCGAAGTCTTAGATTCAATCCCAGCACTGCAAAAAATAGACGTGTGTATGTGTTCACACGTGTGTGTGTGCACATATGCGTATAAACAAGTCGCATGTCAAAGGGGAATAAAGGACATTATGTTTAACACTTCATATAAAGTAAGCCCCTCCCCATAGGTAGTATTATGCTGTCTAATGCTCTGTGATAGTAGTTAGAGAATCACTATCAGTCAGCACATCAGCAAGACCCAGCAGATGACTAATGCTTCATACCACAGATTCCTGTCAGCAGCAAAGCACACTCCAGTACTTTGGAAATTTATTATTCATTTATGAAATATATAATAACTTCCTATTAAGCAATATACTCTATTCTGCAACAATGTAATAAATTGAGAAAACATTTTGAGATTTTAGGAGAAACACTAAGGAAATACATTTATAATCACTGTCTATGTATTCTAATCACTACTTCTAAGTCACTTCTCCATAACAATTAAGTCCTAATTAAACATAAAGAAACTAAATATGAGATAAACTAGCTCAAAAACTCAACCTTCCTAATCTCTCCAACCAATGTACATCACACTTCTTAGGTGTGTAAAGGCATATTTAATCAAAGCATGGAAGCAATAAATAATAAGTAAAATACATGTATACATTACTGTAAGGAAAATAGATTGCATATATTAACTTTATTCTTCATCAATAGTCAGCTTGAAAAAAGTTACTGAAAGTTTCCCCTTATCTTCTAACATATTGAGATATTTAAAAAGTAGCTTTTTAGGAAAAACAGTGAATTAAAAAACACTAAGTGGGAAACTTTAAATTAGGGAATATTACTTTTGAACTGATTTCCAAATATCATTGAACTCATTTAGTTTTTTACTAACAGCATGCATGTTGTTGACATTAATCTCTTACCACAAGTTATGTCTCACTATTTTTTGTCACTAAAGTATCTATAATAAACCCTATCCCTTAGCAGAAGTGAATGGGATCATACCAACAATCTAGACCAGGGAAGCTGTCTAATGTTAGAAATATAAAGCAAGAGTAGTGATACACAAAAGAGCCTGAATGCTGCTTGGAGTGAGGTAATCGGCCTGGATTTTGAGTGGACCTTAGGAAGTTGTTTCCCTTCTCAGAGTTTTAGTCTATACATCTGTAAAATAGAGATAAGGCCAAGTAGAGTGCAGGAGTGCTAAGCAATAATACAAGTAAAGCGCCTAGAACACCATGCTTGGTACATTCTAGGTACTAATGCTTGATAGATAGCAACATGAATCCTTATTATGTTCCATATATGATTGTGGTTTTTTTCTTTTTGGTGCCGGGAATCAAACTCAGGATCTCGCGCTTGAGAGGCAGACGCGGTGCCACTGAGCTAAATCCCTGGCCCTTCCGTATATGATTTTAAGTGCTTTACACGAAGTAATCAGTGAATGATAACCATAGCTACCTCCACAGCCTTCACCTTCTGCTTCTCCCCATTTTTGTGGACAGCTTTGAATCCAAGTTAAACAGCACACAAATAGTTATAGCTATGTGTCAGGTGCCGTGCTAAACTAGTTATATGGATTATTTCCTTTAATCCTCACAACAACCGTCACATCAATAGAGTAGGAACTATTATTAACCTCCTTTTACAGATTAGGAAATTTAGGCTGGGAAAGATTAAATCATTTGCTTAAGGTCAAACACCTGGTATAAAATCTGATGTCAGATTCTACGTGCTTAGCAACTCTTTTCGTATTTCTCAAAAGAAATGCTACTCTTAATTCAATAATTTCAAAGTAGCAGACGCCTATTTTCCACTGTCAGTCGGTTTTAATGAGTTTTGGAAACCGATCTGCACTACACGCGCACCACAGTTGCCCCCACAGCGAATCGCAGGTGCGGAAGATCCCAGTCCCTCACCTGCGTGTCGGGAACGTAATCGGCCGCGGACAGACCTGCTTAGCCGTGAAGAGAGGAGCTATTAGCGCTCTGTGCTGCTGCAGAGCAACGCCCAGGCCCCGGGCTCGCAGGAGAGGCAGCTCGTCGCTCCCCGAGGCCCGGCTCAATCGCCCCGCCGGCCTCGCCGGGCGCGCGCCGCTCCGAGGACCCGCTCTCCGCGCGCAGGGAGCCTAGGAAGGGACAGGAAGCTGCGACCCAGCATCTTCCTCGCACTCCCAGGCCAGTCTCGGGCCTCCCCCAGGGCCGTGGCTCAGCTGCGGGCGTGGGCTGGAAGGGACCGCGCAAGGCCTCCAGAGAAGTCCCCAGTGCGGTCTGGTGGGAGATCTGAGTCCGGGAGGGACCAGGACGGGGCAAACGGGGAAGAGACTGCCCCTAACACGACTGTGTCAACCCTTCTTCCAGGGCGATCCTGGGGATCCGTGACCCCTGTGCTAGACGCCGGGGTCAGGCTCGGTCCCCCTCGGACTTACAGCGCGGCGGGCGGCGGCTCCACACCCGCGCTGCCCCGCACACCTGTCGCCCGCTCACCGCACCCGCGTGGGCAGGAGGCGGGCACCGCTTCACCGTGACAGCGCCTGCAGCCAATCAGAGCACGCGGCTCCCGCAGCCAGCCAGTCGCAAAGCCCCTCTGATCCCGACCCCCACTTGGGCTCCGCAGACACCAAGGGGTTTCTGAGGCCTCAGTCTGAGTCGCCGGAGACCCGAAGAGGCGAGGGGAAGTTGGCGAGGCGAAGTTGGCGAGGCAAAGAGAGGCCATCAGGGAAGTACTCACCAGCCCCGGCACGGGAAGGCCGCTTCTCCCTCAGTCTGCGCCGGCCGACACGCCCCCACCAACCGCCGCCGCCGCCGCCGCCTGGGTCTCGGGGTTCGCCGCGGAGCGCCGCCGCCTCTTTCGAAGGGACCAATCAGCACGCGGGGGCGTGACCTCGGGCCCCGCCTCCGGGTCCCCAAGAGCACGGGACCCGCGCTCGCAACTGAGTCAGCGGGGCGTCTGGCCACCAGGGTGGCCTCCTCGTTCCCTTTTTTTTTTTTTTTTTGATACTGGGGATCGAACTCGGGACCTTGTGCCTGCGAGGCAGACGACAGAACCACTGAGCTAAATCCCGGGCCAGAGCCCTCCTTTTCTTTCCTTTTTTTTCCTTTTCCGTTTTCAGTACTGAGGACTGAACCCAGGGCCTTCGCACTGAGCTACATCCCCACCCCATTTTTTGAGACAGGGTCTCTCTAAATTGCCCAGGCTGGGCGCGTACTTTCGATCCTCCTGCCTCAGCCTCGGGAGTGCCGGGATTACAGGCGTGCACCATCACGCCCTGCTCCAGTCGCTCTTTTCGCAGAAAGACAAAGTGGCTTAGTAACCCTACCTGATCCTTAGGCCACAGCGACCACCCCTCCTATTTGTCCTGCTGGGCAGGAAAAGCTAAATGAACCCGGGCTCTGGGCGTTGCTTCCTCCTGCCCTGTAAGGTGGCTGAAGGGGGTTGAAGGGACTTTCTCGGGTTTTATTTCCATCCGTTAGTGCCGCTCCCCACCCTAAAGCCACTCAAGGCCTCATGGCCTCAGGGTTCCCAGAGAGAGGAACTAACTCTGCAGGGCGGGCGTCCTAAGCAGAAATCTAGGAGAGGCTCTTCTTGGAACCTGAAGCTCCGTCACCCTGGAAGCCGAAGCTCCATCACCCTGGAAGCCGACAGAGGATGCTGGCTCTTCCCTCGGAAACCCCAGAGGGGAGGGAGGAAAAGTTAATGGACCTCAACTAAGCCCTGTTCACTGAGCGCTGAAAACAAACAAAAGCAGTGACTCTCAGTGCAACAATTTAACAATGTCGTCGTTACAGTGTAGCGCTAGATCTGCGCAGGTCTGCAGCTTGGCTTGTCCCGGGAAAAAGGGGGCTGCCTAAAAGCCGGAAGCTGTGCTCTGCTCCAAGCGCCCACCCTCCTGAAGGTTCTGTTACTTTGGTTAAATCATGTCACTTCTCCAAACCATGGTCTCCTTCTTAGCATTTATTGTTTTCTTCCCTCAACAAAAACGGAGAGCCACGATGTTGCTCGCTGAAGAAAGTAAAATGAAGAAAACCGGCTCAGCTTCGCAAGGCTCAGCCGCATGGTGACGCTAAACGGAGGTCTGTGGAAGACGGAGCGCAACGGCCTTGGGGGCGATGGTCAGAGGTTTGAACAAGCTGAATTTTGAAGGATGAGTAAGAATCTGCTAGAAGGGAGGGATAATTGCGAGCGAAGGGTGCTTTCCAGGCAGTGGGACCCCAGCAAACGCCAGGTTCTGGAGATGCGGGGCCCGGGAAACGTTGGAGAATAGTTTTGAATAAGCAAACTTTGAGGATAGGGAGACAGATCCGTCTAGAGGTGTGGTCCTGAATGATAGGCCTGGCAGGTGCTGAGGAACGTAGATTCTCTCCAGCAGACAAGTACGATGATTATAAGGTGGAAATGGTATGAATGCGTTTGTGTTGGGGGGAGGGATCGTTTTTAAATTTTTTTGAAGAAGGGAATAAATAAGACAGGTAGCAGTTTCTAGAGTTTAAAGATGACAATTACCTAAAGATACTCAGAAGAGTAGTAAGGAAGAGGTACCTACAGATATCTAAGAGGCTGGCTTATCTGGCCTGGGTTCTAAGGAATTCAGGGGAAATAAACTGGGAGGGGGAACAAGCACTTTGATTTAAGGCGTACTTACTTTGAAGACTGAAAGAAACATGTACGTAGAGATGTTCAGAAGAGAGTTGGAAAGGCAGGTCTAAAACTGTTTAAATTGGTCTAGGCAGTAGGTAGGGGTTTGAGAAATCAGTTCAACAAATTTTGTTGAGACTTCTGCATCAGGCTCTGTCCTGTGTACCAGGGACTCCCTGAGAAGACGGACAGAAGACGTCTCTAGGAGTTGAAGTACAAGAGGTGACTGAACCAGAAGCCAGACAGTAATTGCTCATTTTGGTTTTTCCTGAAGCCTCGGGTCTCTTTATGACCTATGGCCAGGACCTGTTCATATCAAACTATTTCTACTATGCCACCTCATAAAGGCAAGTTTTGAATTGAGTTGAGACTTGAACTTGGATTTGTGGAACCCTAACATAAAAGTATATACCATGCTCTCTAGAACCCCCAAGAACAATCAAATTGTGTTACACAGATCTTGTTTGATGAGGCATTGGTTGTACGTGGGTTTAAAATTTTTTTTTCATGTATACTTATGCCTACATACTTAAATAACATTTTAAAAATTGAACCCATGCTATATGAAGGATATATACAAACACATACCCCTACACACACACACACACACAAACACACACACACCACTTAATATTTTAAACCATTTACTGAAACCTTGCCATGAGGGTGTCTTTGTGGTCATTTTCTTTTTACTCTCATTGTCTATTTCATCCTTTGTAGGCCACACCAAGCATGGTGGTGCATGTCTGTAATCCCAGCTTTCTGGGAGGCTTATGCAGAAGGGTCTTAAGTTCGAGCCCAACCTGGGCAACTTAGCAAGAAGACCCTATCTCAGAATTTAAATAAATAAGTAAATAAGTAAATTTAAGGGGTTGAGGATGTAGCTCAGGTCCTGATTTCAATTCCCAGGACCACAGAAAGAAAGAAATATTCAAACAAACAAATGTCCAGGACAGGATGGTGTAGAATCAGGAAATCTGGCAAATAGCTCCTTTCAGCCCATTTTCTCCACTGGTTGAATGTGTTTTTGTTGTTTGTTTTTTGTTTGTTTGGTTGGTTTATTTTGTTTTTTCTGGTATGGGGGATTGTACTCAGGACCTTGCACTTGCGAGACAGTGTGGCACCACTGAGCTAAATGCCTGACTCCACTGGTTAAATGAATGATTGAGTTGCCTGCTAGATTCTTTGAGTCTTGTTGATATCTATTTTATTCTACATTTGCATAAAGCTCCCCTTGTGTGTTCTCAACCTTACTTTTACATAACTTCGCCATCTGCCTTTCCCTAAGCACTATGACTGTCTCACTCACCTTGATTTTAACACTGCAATTACTAATTGAGCGTTGCCTCTAATAGCTGCAATCTGCTTTCATGTGTATACTTTCTAATTGGTGGTTGGGTTAATAGCCATGTTGTAGAGTCTCTCTTTTTTTGAAATTGGCATTGCTGTAACATGCGAAGCAAGACTCACCAGTTTGCAAAATCTCTTAATTCTGACTTCCCACTTGTGAAGCTTTGCCCTGCTTTTAGAAAGCACCAAGTTTGGAGGTCTAAATTTTAAAAGTTCATATTAGGAATAATCATCCACCTAATTAAAAAGCTCTCTAGAATAGTGAAGGGTCTCTGAAAATCATCTAGGCTTTGGATATTGAAATACGATTTGGCCATTCCACAGTGCTGCAGGAACACTTCTGTTGCTTAAAACACACTGTAGTTATTTGTTGATTTTTCGTTTTGCTTTCGATTGCTTTCTTAGGTCTTTTGCTCTACATTTTGTTGTTGCTGTTCTTCTGGTTTTATAAATATTTCTAATGCTTTGACATTATTGACTGTCAGGCTATGGATTGTGGCCTTTGTGAAAGTACTGGGTGAAATCTCTGGATAACAGAGAACTTAGCTCATTCACAGTTAAACTAATCTATTGAAAACCAGTCACACTAAAAACTATTGGGGACCCCGTGATGGCCTCTGATCTCCTGCTCGCTGCTGCAGTGCAAGGTGGGAAGAAAAACTCAAAGGAAAAATTAGAGAAATGGGGATCTAGGATGGCCAATGCTGAGCAAGCTGCAAAAGACCCTGGCCAGCCAAACTCGCTGATGTTTATTGGTGACATCATAGTTTGGTCAGGGTGAGAGGGCTGCCTGTGGTCTCTGGGGCTATGTTGCTGATGCAGGCAAGGCTTGTAAGAGAAGAGACAAAGCATTCTTAACTGTGGGAACAGAACTTTCGTGCAAGTCACTCTGACCTCAGCTTCCATGTTCTCTAGTCACAGTCACGTGGGCTTTGGGCAGACTCACTTCTCAAAACAAGCCAGCTGTGGGCTTAACTCTTCACAGCCTGCACTGCTTACAGCCTGCTGTGGCCATAGTCAGTCGGCCGGTCCACCACAAAAAAATGATACTACACTGTCTCAAAGGACCGCTGCTGATTTGTATGAACCAGTAGTATAAGTAATTCAACAATGCGAAATAACAGTGGTTGGGGTTAATACTAAAATGCGTTACACCTGTGTAATGAGTTAAATAGTGTCCTCCCAAAATCCATGTCCATCTGGGATCTCTCAGTGTATGATCTTATTTGGAAATAGGTTTTTGCAGGTATAACTAAGTTAAGGATAGAGTGGAGACTGTATTGGATTAGAGGGGTTCCAAATCCAATGAAAGTTCCTTATAAGAAACAAAAGGCTGGGCATAGTGGCCCACACCTATAATCCTAGCACTTTGGGAGGCTGAGGCAGGAGGATCACAAGTTTTAGCCCAGTTTGGGCAGTTTAGTGGTTTAGGGAAACCCTGTGTCAAAACTTATAAATAAATGAATAAATAAGTTAGTAAACAAATAGGGATGTAGCTCAGTGTGAAGGCCCTGGGTTCAATCCTCTGTATCACAAAAAGACACAAAAGGATATGTGTACACACACACACAGAGAGAGAGAGAGAGAGAGAGAGAGAGAGAGAGGAGAGAGGAGAGGGGAGGGGATGGAATGTATTGGCTCTAACCTCAGGCAAAATGTGACCCAAGGTTTCAAATAACATCACCAGAACCCAGCCTCAGTGGACTTATATTTTTATGTTGGTTTTCTTCTCAGATTCCTCTGGCTCCAAGAAGTTCTGGCTCTACATTCTCTATGTTCAAGTCTAACCCAAAAAGTGAGTAACTCTATATGATTTGGCTCAGGTTAGAAAACACAAAGCATCCCAGGTGCTTCAAAAAGAAAAAATTAAACATGAACTTGTTTGTAAAGGAAATGGAAGAGCTGAGATGATAAAGGAGAGCAGATGAGACAGCCCAGAAATGAGCAACAGGAGGAAATCACTGCAATGGCAGAGCGTGAAAGTTCAAAGGAGCCCAGAAGCCCGGGGCCATCTGCGCTAAGATAGGGCTAGGAGCCAGGCAGGCCATGCGATCTTCACCAGAGCTACAGCATGAAGCAGAGGGAGAGGGACGCATACCTGGCAATTTCCTCTCTTCCATTCTCCAATCTTCCACCGGTGCCTTCCATTGAATAATGCTGGCCAGGGCCAGCTAGCAGGGCAGCCTGTAATATTCAGCCTGTGGGAGGCAGGAAGCAGAGATGGGAAGGGGCTCTGAACACAAATAGCACTGTTAGTTAGGTTTTCGCCATGAGCTCCAGGCTTTTGACAGCTTAGAGAATAAACATTGCTTTACCTCTCTTGGGAATCTGCAGGCTAACTCATGGAGGGCGAAGCCTCAAGGGCTTGCTGCTTTGAGCTATGGGTTGCATATACCTGTCCACCTCTGTCCCTCATCCTCAGACTCCAGGGCACGTCTTCTCCTGCAGATGGCAGAAGTGCAAAGCAGGAAGCAGAAATGTGATACTGCCCCAGGCCTCCGATCTGAATGGCAGGAGTCACCTTCAACCCACTTTACATTGCCCAAGGCAAGCCACACAGACTTGCTTATTCTTGGTATTTCTATTACAAGGAGAGGGTGAAGAATTTGGAAGAGTACTGTGATACACACACACACACACTGCTTATCTCCTAAAAATATTCTAAGGGAAATATCTTATTTTCTTTAAATGGGTCACATGCCCAATCCTAAACCAATTACCTGACTACTGGACTAGCTATCTCTGACTCATATGTCCAGCTCTGCAGCCGGAAGTCATGTCAATTCTATCCAAAATACAAGTGAGAAGCCAGGGGCCAGCCCTCTAGGGACATTTGAGTATTCTTACCAAAAATAAAGGCAATGGATTCTAAAAAATAACAGATACTCACTACAGTCATCTAGCACCCAAATGTATATGTGAGAATTTACTATATTATTTTCACGATGAGGGAAAAAATTCCTTATAATTTTGTAAAAATCAGGGGAAAAGCAAAATTCTGCTGTAGAATCAAAGAACAAAATTGGTTTCAAATTTCCAACAACAAAGGAAAAAGACAAAACTCCAAAACCAGTTACTCATATCTAGTATTTGGATTCATTAATAAAAGCGATGGTCCACAGTGTTTGTATGAAGCAAAACACCACCACCATGAGAGAGAGAATGGTACTGAAGCTAGATGATGTCAGGAGAAAGAACAATGTAGGAGCCACACCTTTTTTTTTTTTT